CTCTCCCTCCCTCTCTCTCCCTCCCTCTCTCCCTCTCTCTCTGCTCGCCTGTCCCAACCCTTTGGTCTTAAGCGGGCCGTTAGTGGTACGACTTTTGTCCCGCTAATGCCGTGATCCACAGCCGCGCCTCGCAGCTCGCGGGGCCGTCCACGTCGTCTCCGCGGAGGTTCCGCTTCAGTTTATACTCCGCACGCAGGCGGCCCGGCCTAATAACGTCTCGCGCGTTAAATCAGCTTGTTAGTCCTTTTCATAAAGCGTTTGCGCGCCGTTATGGCTCCACGCCGCGCGGATTATTTTGCCCGGGTTTATCGATCCCGCCCTTCTCGTTTGAACGACAGGATGCTGTGAGTGTATGTGTGCGCGCGCGCGCGCGCCTGTCGGATGATCGAACGACGGGAAACAATGACGCCGCAGCTTAATGATGCACTCTGTGCAAACAACGGTACACAAGGATTCCCACGTGCAGATATGTAAATTTTCAAACAAATTGACGACAACCTTTGTTTCAATTTTCATGTTTTATTTTTTTTCGTAAATGTATTTTAATGATTTTTTTTTTAATTGTCTCTCTTGACATACGCGTTTGTCACCCGCCAAGATATTATCCACCCGCACAATGCCTTCTGTACTTGCTCTTTGTGCCAGTAAGACAGGTGTCACCCACGTGCAGCCCGCACGTGTCACACTAACCCCCACGTGGCTCACAATGTCCTCCAGCCAATAACGCACGCGGTGACGCGGTGACATCACCCCTTTTTTAACGGCCCGTTAAGACGCCCGCCGCCCGCCCGCTTGGCCACCGCCGTCGCCGCCCTTTTTCCCACCCATTTATTTACGCACCGGCTGCGCAGCGCGGCGACCCCACCGCCGTGGCGCGGCCTTTAAAAACGATGTCATCAAGTCAAACGTGATTAGTGAGCCGGTGCAATCCCCACCCCCCTTCTCCCTCAAACCAACACCGGGGCGGTCCCTCCAAGAGGGCGTCTGGATTTTAATTCCAATTTTACAGCGCGAAGCTCGTCGTTCCCCGCTCCTCTCCCCTCCTCCTCATCCTCCCCGTCGATCCTCTCATTGGATGGTAAATCAAGCGGGCCGGTGCTAGTGCGTTATATTGACTCTCCCCGCGGGAGGTCACCCGCGCACGCACTGCGCAAGCTGGCGCCCACCGCCGGACCAGACCGGACACCCGCTGCTGCTGCTGTTGCTGCTGCTGTTTTATTTCTTGTTTTTGTTGTTTAGGACGTGGATTCGCTTAAACACGAGTCTGTATACAGGGCTTGTATGTGTGTTCGACATAACCCCGCGCACAAAAACTGCCAAAACAAGAGATTGTCTTTGTTCTTGAAGAAATAACAAAAGTGCCACAAATAAAAAAATGGCGAAAGTAACAAATAACGAAGTGTAACTTTGTGTTACTTACAAAAACGACTGTCATAAGACAAACATAATTACAAAAATACAAACAAGGAAATACAAATCACCATTTTTTCGTCAGTTGAAAAACAGTTTTTGTCACATTCCTGTTTATTTCATTTCATTTCTCGTCATCATGTAGACCTTCAAAAAATTGTTCTCTCGTGTAGTTGTTTAGAACTGTGTTTCTTTTTATTGCTCGCAGTGTAGTGACCACCACCGCCGCTCTGCGCGCAGCGGTCAAATATAACGAAGCATCCGCCCTCCCATCAGTTTATTGCGTGCACTATACCCTCCTTGTTCTGTTCCAGGCGCCGGCAGGCCGGGATGAGCCTGCCGCCCCGCCCCGCGCCCCTCTAGGGCGCCGCTGGGGGCTCACCATCGCTGCGCACCAAGGAATCGGCTCACCATGACGAACCTTAACCGGATCCGCGTCGTGGTCATGGGCGGCGCGCGGGTCGGCAAGTCGGGTGAGTCTGTCGGGTAGTCACCTCGGTACCTCCCAACCTCGTGGTATGGGCCCTGTAGTACCTTCTAGGTACGCAACCTCGCTCGGGGTGGGTTTTCTGGAGCGCCCTGGAGGGCATAGGAAGCCTTGTTTGGCCTTGCGGAGCGCCTGCTGGGTAGGCAACCTCCGGGTAGGCCGCCCGCCGCACGCCGGTGCAGCGCGGTTGCCTATCCCGCGCTCGTCAGGCGGCCACGCGCAGCAGAAAGATGGACATCTTTTTCATAAGTTTTTTACTGTCCTCTTTTCTCTACTATTTTCACAATTTTAACTCGTCCCTTCTCTTCCATTTCCTTATCTTTCCTCCCGCTGCCCCCTCCCTTCCCTCTCTCCTCCCCTCCCTCCCTCTCCATTTCTCCCTCTACCCTCTCTCCCTCCCTGTTCCTCTCTTTCTCTCCCTCTCTCCCTATCAGTCTCCTCCACGTGCCGCGACGACTGCTAAGTCGCGTCGTATCGAAGCGTATTCATCAGTATTGCCATGCAGTAAATAGTGTCGGTAGTTGTTTTCGTTGTTGTTGTTGTTGTCGTCGTCGTCTTTGCGGCTTCTGCTGCGACAGATAGCGCTGCGGTCGGCAATGCGGGGTCGTCGTCTCAATTATGCGCCTCTTTGATTGCATGGGGAAAGACGACTGCCGGCGCTGCCAACACCTGCGGCAGACACACAGACAAACAGACGGACGGACGCGCCGCCGCCGCAAACAGAAGTGAGGCGCGAAGACTATGTCTTTTATTAGCGCGCCGAGGAGAAACCTCTGTTGTCACTTCTGTCTGCGGCGCACTAATTCATCTTAACTTTTAATTTTTAAAATGTCATTACATTTCTATGTGTAAAGTAAATGCATGCCCTCGCGCATCAAAATATTCGTGTCTGTACTTACTCTTGGGTGAAGTTCTGTTGCGCGCATTTGAACATTTCGTTTAGATATTTTCTTTGCTTTTCGGTTTGCTTGTTCTGATGGTATAAGTGGAGCGGTGCCGCCGCTGTCTGGCAGCAGCAGCAGGGAGAGCCCCGTAAGCGAGAGGGGAAGAAGGGTATGGGACTTTGAACCGTATGAATGTCTAACACGGCCAACATACGCGCTGCGTACGGGTTTACAGTCGAGGAGTGTGTGTGTGTGTGTGTGTGTGTGTGTGTGTGTGTGTGTGTGTGTGTGTGTGTGCGTGCGTGTGTGCATCATAAAGCACAGAATGGGCATTCCTACAACCCATCTGCTCGGGCTCCGAGACACCCTCCGGGACACCTCCTCGGTGGTCAGTCTGTAAAACACCGCGCGAGGTGTGATGTTTTGATATCCGAGCGGGCGGAGTGGCAGGGTGTTGCGGGCCTCGGGCGGCAGCATAGTTTGGATGTCGACGGGTTTGGGAGAAAAATAAAACACCGCGTTACTGATAAGACATGGGACAGAGAGAGAGAGAGAGAGGGGGGGGGGCGGGGGGGCGTGTGTGTGTGTGTGTGTGTGTGTGTGTGTGTGTGTGCGTGCGTGTGCGGAACGCATCCTGGGCTCGAGAAAGGTCGAGTGACCGACCGGGCCAGGGGGATACGTGCGTTATCCGGAAGATCGACTCCTCCTTCCCCTCCCCCGCCTTCTCCATCACGCGTATATAACAAGCACTTGGTCGACGTGATGAGGGCGTGTGCAAATTGTTATTTTTGTCCACGTACGCAAAAAAACAACATATTTTCTTATATGCTTACATTTGCGTTTTATTTGTTGTTTTGCGGAAAGTGTGTAATGCATGGGGCAGTCAGTGAGGCGCATGTCGTATGAGTAGCAGCAGCAGCCGGCCGGCGAACAAGGGCCTTAATCCTTCTGGCCAGACACATAGCTGAACGTTGGCCCAGTTTCTGTTCTTGTGTGTTGGGACGTCAGGTCAAGGCGCATACACACACGGATACACAGACTCACGGACGCTGTCTCTATTACAGTGTCAAGAAGTCAAAGCTGACCTCTTTGTGTCGTACTCGTTGGTGTTAATTCCCGCATCAGGATGTTGGAAGGGGTGGTGGAGGTGGGAGACAGAGCGGCCGCGCGCTGGTAGTTGTTGTCGAGTGACATTTCTGCGCGTGCTCGTAAATCTTTTGCTGTTATACTGCATCCGGATCGATTTGAAATTTACAAGTGTGCGTCGTCGGTCGTACTACAAGCTACATCCAATTTTATGCGGCCCTTTTTCGCGCGTGCACTGCATGCAGTGGCAGTAAAATGTGTGTTATTGGTTCCTTTGTTATATTCCTCTACTCTCTTTTTTCCTCTTCTCCGTCTACTCGCCACCACTACACGCGCTCTTTGCGCCCCTCATTCCATCTCTTTGCCTCTCCCAAAGGATCGCGGATATACTAGAAAATTTATGACTGCAAGAATATGGGAGTAATCTTCTTGAGAGTGTAGCATGGTTGAGGCGAATGAATCTCGCACTAATTTATTAGCGACACCGCTGCTCGTAGGAGATTAGCGTGGCCGGCGTCTGCGGAGCGTGGCTGGCAAAAGGGCTTTCTCTGCCTGAAATCTTATACCGACGCAATTTAGTTGTGACGGTTCGCGAGTACTTAGTTTCAATGCCACCACTTTGTTGATTTGTATTCTCTTTTTTCCCCCTTAAACTGTTTCCGGTACCTGCACGCTAGATAAAACTCTATTAGTCGCGTACTTTCTAGTTATTCCTAGAGATTGGTGCGTTGTTTGTCGTTTTGAGCGTGTGAATATCTCTGTAATTTTTCCCATAAGTGATTTCTAGCAACAGTAATCATCAGACACTGTCTAGCACCAGCCTTTGGCACTCACTTTCGCTGAAGCCCTGTCTAGGCTAGACCCCGCCTAGGCTCGATAGGCCCATAATGCGGCGTGAACGCGTACTGCTATCCCCGAGGGCGCCAAACGATCACTCAGAAGAAAAAGCGGAAACTGCGTTAAAAGGGCGGATATCCTTAAATACGTAAGTACCTATACGTAGGAGTACGTGCAGCAGCCCGTAGTGGCTGAGCGTTTGTCAGTGTGCTAAAATTCTTAGAGGTAACGTTTTAAA